ATCAGCTATGAAGAGAAATAATTAGCTGCCTTTCGTTCTGGGTCAGAGAAGCGGACGTTCCAATTAACTTTGGCGCACCCACGGACCCTCTGGATTTTGTGAGGGGGTTCGGGGAAGGTGTCATGATGCTATTCCTGTAGAAACTCATCAAAAGCATCAGAGTTGCCCTTAAGGCCAATTACATCTGTTCATTCATGGAGCTTATTAAAATGCTTCATAGTCATAAGCCACCTAGATACCTTGGGGCAAAGAAGCTCTGGTAAGACGAACAAAACATGGGTAGAAGCATAGTTATTTGGAAGGCTCTGGGCTTTGGCAGGTAACCGCTTAATTAGCTCAGCTGTGTGCTCTGTGCCTGACACCCGTCTGATTCAAAGAGTCTGTTGCTGCTATGGGTTCCATTCATGAGATGTATTTTAACCTTGACCTGGTATTTTAACCCTGACCTCTTGGCCAGAGTTAATGAACAAACAAGCCACAAGTACAACAAATAGAAACTGAGGCACAGGGAGCTTCAATAAACTAACCTATGAACGGGCAGGGAGAGCAAGAATTTATCTTGGAGGCTGCGCTCTTTTAACACCACATTCGGAAGCATCATTCGCACCCCCCCCCATAAGTTGCCTCTCCTGTGTTTTTAAATCTTGGGGGATGGGGCCCCCATTCATCCATTCAGCCCAGTGAGCAGCCTGCCAACTTGCCCTGGTTGTTCCTAACCCTTCTCGCATCCAGAAACATGAGACCCACGCCCAGCGGTTATTACCTCTGGCCCCACAGCCAGTCCTTCAATTCTTGCTCCATCACTTCTTGCCTGGACTACTGTAATAGCTCCCGATGGGTGTGCTTTCATTCATTCAACACATACTAATTATTCAGCCACTTCGTGCCAGGCCTCACCGCTCCACCTTTGCCTCCCACCATCCAGGTGCCAGAGTGACCTTTCCAAAGGGTAAATTTGATCACGCCACTCCCATGCTTAAAAATAAAAACTCCATTGGCCCCCTGTCATTTGAAAGGATCATATGCCTTTTATAAGATGACTTCCAAATGGTTTGAAATGCACGTCTGTTGAATGTGCCCATGGATTTTTCTGGCCAAACTTAATTTTAGGAAATCATTAGCAAAGATGAGCAGGAGACATTCCCCCCTCCCCGCAGCTTATCATGTGCATAGTTCCAGCTGCCCAAATTGTTCACGTGTATGCCTTAAACCAGGAGATGGTCCACAACAGTCTGGAGAGGCGACGTCAAAGCTTGTGAAGGAAATTGCTTAATGGAACTCTCAACAGTCTAAGAGGAAACCTATAAAACTTGGATTTCTTATTTTGCATTCTTTTATACTCAACCCATTGCTGGCAAACAGAACATATTAAGCTTTAAATTAGTGTTAGTTACTGTTGTTATTGATGACCTCATTATGATTCCTACAGCATCCCAGAAACACTCGGGCCTTCCTGCCTCCGAGTCCTTATTTGTTCAGCTCTCTGAGCACCACTCCATTGCCTTCTGAAAAGAACACTTTCATAGTAACTCTTCAGCTCTTCAGGGGTTGCTAAACCCTTATGGCTGGCCATGTTCTCCTGTGGGCATTTAAAGATTCCCCATTCCCCCTCCCCCATGGTTCTTTCCTTCGAGATACTGCTTTACAAGTCTCCTTCTCCACTCAGACCAGTGTCTCCATCATCCAAAGCACATACCACATTTGTCTCTCATCCTTGCTGGTCCTCTTGGCCTGGGCCCGCCTCCGTCTGCCATGGAGAATACCACAGTGGTACAGAGTGAAGCAGACTCTCCCATTTACTACCCAGCTGCATGACCACGGGTGCGTGTGTTCCACTCGGAGCCGCAGTTTCCTCCTCTAAAACATGGGTCTAATACCTGCCTCATAGGGTTATTGTGAGGATGGAAGGAGATCATGGATTCCCAGTGCCTGGCACCCAGTAAGAGCTCAACAGATGCTGGCTGTTGTTGTTGTTGTTACAAAGTTGCAATCCCAATTCATCCATGAGACCTTTATCATCTGCTGTCATAACGCTAATCTCTGTTTTCCCACTAACGACTGCACCTATGGTCAGCAATTTGTAGTACTTAAATACCATTTTTTCTGTGATTATTCTCCCCAATTCGGCTGCAGCGCGAACTAGGGCATAGACCGTGGTTTATGTCAACACCGGAGCCTACAGGAGCCAGACAAGGAACAGAAAGTAGATTGGGCCAATTTGAGGGCACATGTAACTCTGGCCAATTGTTGTCATACGGGAATATGGGCCCAGTGTTGCCAGATCTCAGCCTTTTCAAAAGAAGCCAAAAATCCAGATTCTAATGTGAAATGTCCTGAATTCTAAAAGTTGGGCCAACACCGTCAGGCCAAACAAAGCACGCCTGTGAGACCCCAGTTTGTGAATGCTGTGTTGTTCAGATGGCCCCTCCAAGATTGTGCGTACGCTGGTTATGTAGATCTCTGAACTCACTTTCATAGAGAAACAACCCTGTGAGTGGCATTTAGGGGTCCAGGCTAAGCTGGAAGGCTGGTTCCCATTCGCACCAGACCTGAAGGTTAGGATCGTCCTATGAAATTTGATTTCTATGTGAAACCATCTTCCCACCGAGAAACACATTTAGAGCTCCAAGTTTTGATGCTGGGGACACATACACTAGAATGTGAGCCCTTTCAGGACAGGGCCTTTGTTTATTCACTGCCATTTCCTTAATGTTTAGAAGGCTGCCTGACACTCAGTAAACATTTGTGAAAGATACTCGTGTCTTTATCTGTGTCTACTGTTACTCTGTTCTCTGTACGCCAATAAGGACTACCTTGCTTACCATGTTATCCCCAGCACCTGGCAGGTGGTAAAAGATCAATAAACACTTGTGAGTGAATGTATGACGAAAACAATATATTCAATGAACACTTCTTGAGCACCTGCTGCGTGCCAAGGACTACGGTGGACTTCAGGGATGCAAAAGTGACTCAGACACCATCCCAGCGTCAAGGAATTAGGTTGCTAGAAAAGATTGCATCAAGTGTTTCCTGAAACACTTCTAAAAATTGTCAGGAATTACTCAATGCTCCCCTTCCCAGAAGAGGAGGGTGGGTGGAGGATGACCTGGGACCATTCAGCACCAGGCTTTTTCATTTATCTGAGCATCTCGAGGGTGGTAGCCATCCATTGGGGTTTGAATATGAAAGATTGAACTGATTTTCTTTCAACCACATGGTGGAATGAGCCAAACGAGTGCTGCCCTTTCAAGTGGGCACCTCGGGAGGCTGTGTCCTCATTCCACTCCAGTTACGACAGCCCTGGACCACTTCTTTGGCAAGTGCCCTCAGAGAAAGTTAGAAGCCACTCGAGGACATTTATTTCATTGCTTTAGAATCATGCCTTATTTTCAACCATCCAAAAAAAAAATGTTTGGAAGAAAAGGGTTATTCCAGTCATTACCCCTCAAGCTTGGTTCCAAATGACTGTAGGTTGTTTCCTAAAATCCAATTCACGGTCAAAGGAGAAATATTTTCTGTGGGTGAGTTTATTGAACCGTGTGTGCCCCAGGCTCTGAAGGCATCAGGGCCCAAAGAGAATCCCCAAATTGTCATGGGCCTCAGTCCTTTCAGAAGAAGTGTTTAACCTTCCAGCGTGTCTGTGACAAAGGAGGCAGGATTCTTTTGGCTGCCTGCATTCTGGTGCTTGGGCTGAAGAGGAAAAAAAAGAGATAAGCTGTATCTAGTTTACTTATTTTTTTTTTAAACTTTATTGGGAAACAGTGTGTTTTTCTCAGGACCCATCAGCTCCAAGTCAAGTTGTTGTCCTTCAGTCTTAGTTGTGGAGGGCACAGCTCAGCTCCAAATCCAGTTACCCCTGTTCAATCTAGTTGCGGGGGGTGCAGCCCAGCATCCCATGTGCGAGTCAAACCGGCAACCTTGTTGTTAAGAGCACACACTAACCAACTGAGCCATCCAGCCGCCCATTGGCAGCTCAGCGGCAGCTCAGCTCTAGTCATTGTCTTCAATATAGTTGCAGAGGGCGCAGCTCACTGGCCCATGCGGGAACCTGTTGTTCAGAGCTCGCCAACTGAGCCTCCCGGCCGGTCCTCTAGTTTCCTTTTATATACCTACTACTTAGCACAGGTTCTATACATATAGGAGCCCAGAAATGTTTTGTGGAGAAGAAAAATGGATGATGATGAGGTCCCACATCTAAATACTCATGTGCCAGGCACCATGCTGGCACATGTCACATTATACACGCTCGTCAAAACAACCATATGAGGTGGTTACGATAATCACCTCCAAAAGGAAACTGAGGCCCAAGGTTAAGTAACTTGCCCAAGGTCACAGAGCCAGCAAGTGCCAAAGCTGGGGTTGAAACCCAGATGGACAGTTCCTACCTTGAACCCGTAACCTATACTCATTAAGAAGGGTATGGGTATAGAATCGTATGATGCTAGTACAGCAGAGAAGGCATTCCTAAAGAAACCAAGAGGTTCCACTCCCTGCTGTGGGTAGAAAACCTCCCTTCATTCAGCAGGTTCGTGACTGTCCGGCTGGCAGCCTCTTCTGGGGCATTTGTTTTGCCAGGCCGTCCCCATCCACTGCTATCGTTAGCCAAGAAGGTCGCTAAGTTTTGACACCTATTCGAAATGGTTACACAAGTGAGTATGTAGTTCAAAGCTTGGCTGAGTGGGGCATCTGCAAGACGCTGTATCATTTTTGGGGTTTTGGGGAACCTGTCCACCCAGAATATAGCCAGGCCAATGACAGCACAGAGGAGAGGGACTCGGGATTTAGGCTGAAAACGTGACCTGAGGTCATACTCACAGGGGCCAGGAGTCCAATCCTGCTAACCCTCTAACTCCATCATGACCTTGGGCATGTTGTTTTGTCCTCCTGGGCCGTGCTTTCCCCATCTGTGTTCTTTCCAAAGTCTGCCCAGCTCTGAAGGAGGGCTAGAAAGAACATGCCTCCTTGCTTGGGGGTTGCTCATTGGACATTTATTCCCCCAGGCTGGAGGAGAACTATGAGATTGCAGAAGGGGTTTGCATTCCTCGCAGCGCCCTTTACATGCATTACCTGGACTTCTGCGAGAAGAATGACACTCAGCCTGTCAATGCTGCCAGCTTTGGAAAGGTGAGTCCAGCCTCACCAGGCGTATTCCTTTTCTTCCCCCTTTTAAGTAATTTGTGCACAGTTCTTAATCATGTTACTTGGTTTGGTTTGGGTTTTTTTGTTTTTTGTTTTTGTTTTTTTAAAGATTTTTATTGGGGAATTGGGAGGAGGGGAACAAACAAGTTGCTGTCCTTTTGTTCTTCAGTCTAGTTGTGGAGGACGTTGCTTCATTGGCCCAAGTTGGCACCATCATTGCGCTCTTCCCGGGCGGGGCAGATCAGTCGCCGGCTTCTGGATGGCCGCTCACGCTGGCTGCTGGCTACATACGGTAGCCCATGGCAACCCACTGCCAGAGGGGCTGCAGCCTAGCTGTTGCCGGCAACTCATGGCAGCCCAGCTCCAGGTTGAACTGTTGTTCAGCCTCTTAGCTGTAGAGGGCAGTGTCACTGGCCCTTATATGTGGGATCCGAACCGGGGCCCTCTGGCGTCCCAAGCCAGTTCTTAACCATCGCGCCACTCGGCCAGCCCTGGTTTTGTTTTTTTAAGTTACCAAAGTACACACTTTGGTAACTTTGCTGTAATTCTTTGCTGTAAAAACATCAAACACTTGTTAACAGAGGAACGCCAAATCAAATGCCAAAACAAAATAATACCAAAGTATTAAAAACCTCAAACAATTCGGACAGGTTATAAAGGGAAAAGTGAATGCCTAACTTGAATTTCCTCGGTACTTAATTTTGCAGAAAGCCACTTCTTTACTCTGAGAGGCAAATATTGAACTTGAACGTGTCTTGTACGTATGTCAGTGAGCCTGGGGCAGGCAGACTGCTTGGCCTTAAAATGTGAAAGCCTTGGAAAAACTAGGAAATGGCCTTGTTTCCTCAGGGAGTCCTCCGCTGGGAGCGGTGCTGTTTGTAATGTCACTGCAGGTCTGACTGTCCCCTATCCATCTTATGATAAAAGTATATTCCACTCTTCGAACTGTGTCTACAAAAAATCATTAGCACTAATGGTTCATATTTCACAGGCCAAGGAAAGCTGCTGGAACGTTCTCTAAGACCGATCATTTGTTTATGTGATAGATAAAAATCTAGATTTTTACACTTCCAAAATACCCAACTTAATTTGAGTCACTACATCTAAATTCTTTCTCCTTTTTATTTATTTATTTTTTTAAATTTTATTGGGGAATTGGGGAAGGGGAACAACAAAGTTGTTGTCCTTTAATCTTAGTTGTGGAGGGCGCAGCTAGCTCAGCTCCAAGTCCAGTCGCCATCTGGCCGGCCATCAGCAGCTCACAGCCGCTCAGCTGAAGGTGTTGTGTTCAATCTTAATTGTGGGGGGCACAACCCACCATCCCATGTGGAAGTCAAACCGGCAGCCTTGTTGTTAGGAGTATGTGCTCTCACCAGCTGAGCCATCCTGCCGCCTGTTGGCAGTCAGCAGCAACTCAGCTCGGGCGCAGCTCACTGGCCCATGTGGGAATCGAACCGGCAACCCTGTTGCTCAGAGCTCACACTCTTAACCAACTGAGCCACTCAGCCAGCTCATAAATACTTTCTCCTTTTATTAGCTTCTTTTTTCTTTGTATAATTTTCATTGCATCCGATAACAAAAATAGGCAGGCTTGTTCTGCACCACTGGTGCAGTTTTCTGAATGCAGGCATAGCAAGGAGTGAAATGGCAGAAAGAGGTCAGTGTATAAATTTCAAGAATTCCCTTTTCAGATCCTCAACAGATCGATCATCATCAGGCAAAGAAAAAAAAGAAAGAAAGAAAGTGATATCAGGCCTGAGCCAACCCCCCGGGAGAGTCCAAAACTGAGTGGCTGAGAATTGGCTCCACTTAGTAGATGGGAAGATGCTTTGTGGCGACTTGGATAGGAGGTGGATGGGGAGAAATGTTTTTGTGATGCATTAACACTATTTCTCCAAAGTGGAAAGAATTTTTTCAAAGTGAGTGGAGAAACCCCCTTTGCCATTTCATTCATTCATTTCTTCAGCATCGATGTTTGCTGAGATAGACTGTGTGGCAGGTACTGTGTTAGGCAGTGAAGACCCAGAGGGAACCCAGTGTGGGTCCTGCTGTGGAGGGGCTCCCAGGCCAGGAGGGAGACTGTGAGCCCCTCAGCAGGTGAGAGAAGGAAAAGCACAGCAGGGTTGCGTGGGTTCCTGGAGCTTTGTCGTGTGTCCGTGGTCCGGGAGCATTTGCTTGTGTCTACAAGCTCTTCCACAGTAGCCGCAACAGAAAGCCCAGATAAGGCCTCTTAGATGGAGGGACAGGTGGGGTGAACCAAAGACCAAGAATCCTGACTCTCCTGGACTTACCATTTAACCTCTCTGAGCCTCAGCCCTCTCAGCTGTGACGTGGGAATGAACCCCTACCTTCTTCAGGGGAAAATGTCAGATTCAAGTGAGACGATGTCAGTGGGTAGACTTAAGGTCTGTTCACTCAGCCATCCAATAGCTCAGATATTTAGTAACACCTACCATGTGCCATCACAGCTGCTGTTGTGAATTCTCCATGAGATGTTTGTGCACAGATACAAATGGCCATTTGTTAGCTTAGATTCTGTTAAAAAAAAAAAAAAGAAAAGAAAAATCCCTTACCATTTCTAGAAACTCCAATTTGCTGGTGTAAGGATCTTCTGTTCCTTTTTTCTCAAATACATTTGTAACCTGTTGTCAGCTGAGGGTTTCTTTCACCTCCTGATCTAGGTAAAATTTTCTTAACTCTGCCCCTCCTCCCAGCACCCCAGTTCCATTCCTGTTTTAAGTCTCAACCTGCCACCAAGATTTCAGCAAACCCCAAAGCACTTGCATTCTCAGGGCCAGCTTGACTTGGGATGCTTTCTTCTGCAGATACCACCTCTCTCTATACCTGTGCTGGTTAGTACAGCAGCTGCCAGCCACATAGGGTTGTTGAAGTTAAAGTTAAGCAAAATTAAAAATTTAAGTTCTTTAGTCACACTAGCCATATGTCAAATGCTCAGTGGGCATGTGCAACCAGAGGCTACCATATTCCACATGCAATCATCACAGAAAGTTCTACTGGACAGCCCTGCTCCGAGCCAGGGAGGAAACTCAGGGGTCTCCTTGCTTTGCACAAGATAACCCACTGGAAGCATGCATGACCCTAACAGACTGAAGTTTGCAGGAGGGGTTTACATCCCAAACAGTGTCCTGTGGAACAGATGTCCCCACCTCAAAATACTCTTCCTAGCTCCCCATGGCTCTGAAGGCTCCCCGGTCCTCTACCTGCCTGTGCCCCACAGCTAGTCCCAGCCCTCTCTCCTCTGCTGCCTCCTCTTTCCTCCTCTCCCACCTTCCTCTGCCCCCCCTTCCTCTCTCCCCTCCTTCTTGGGACCACCTCTACCAAATTTCCTCTGTTCCCCGATCCTTGGTTTCTGCTGACATCTATGCCCACAGGTTTCATTTACCCCCACATAGGCTATTCATAATATTTCTCCAGATAATAAGTTTTTTCCCTAAGAAGAATTATAGTGCCAGCTGCTTCCAAAATCGTCATTAAAACAAGCATCTAAACTCCATCTGATCTTCAGTCCAAAAGCAAGGAAATACTCGAATGGTATTAAAAGCACAAATGCAAAAGCTGTGTCGATTTCAAGAGTCCTGGGAATTGGGGCGGGGCTTGTGGGTGTAGGACAGGCGGTGGCTGCTGAGGGCAAGCTACACACTGGGTGGGTTGAATTGAAATCCCAGACACAGTTGCCTTTCCCGAGGGCTCCCGGCATGCTGCGGCTGCCGTCTCCTTGAGACCTCGGGGTGTAATTGTGGACAGCCTTCCTTTGAGCAAATCTGTCTGAACTTAACGATTCACCTATGAACTTTGAACTCAGAGCAGGCGAGGTTCTGTATTTCCACTTAGTTTTTAGAGAACAGTTCGTTTGGTGGGAGTCTCCCCACCCAGCTTGCAGGTGAGCTGAGGTGAAACAAACATCAGCACTGAAGCTCTCAGCATCATGTCGCCTGGCTGGGATACTGTTCTTGATAAAGTGGATAGCAGCGATTGCTTTGCTGCGAGTAAGATCTGAAACCGAGATTCTCTTTCCAACACTGTGGCCAAGCTCCGTAAGCATTGGCTTCCTGTAATGTTGTGTTGACTTGAGGTCCTGGAATTAATTTAGGTTTGCAGAGAATGCTGAGGCTTCTGATGAACTGGTCTTTCCCTGCTCTTAACGTTGGTTAGGGGAATGAAAGGTCACCCAGCTTGGCCTCACTTAACTTTTCTGAGCTTCCCTTTCCTTATCTTTAGACAGGAATAACCCCTTACCAAATTCCTTTAGGGATAAAATGGGGCAGAGCTTATGAGAGCATTTTTTTAAATTGTAAAGAGCTCTACCAATGGAAGAAATCACCGTTATCTAAAATTGGCCCCACTTCATCCTGTCTCCTCCATTTTTTCACCATGCCTTATGTTTCTTTATAGCACTTATCATGGTCTGAAGTACCATATACAGAGGGTGCCAAAAAAATGTGTACACATTTTAAGAAGGGAAAACTGTATTAAAATTGTAATACTCAATATATACTGCTAACAAAAGATGAGTACAAGTCACATTTGACTTCTGCAATTACGAGAGGTGCTCAAAGTGGTTCCCATCAGCATCCAGACACTTCTGATTATGGTGAACCTACTGCTTGAGCAACGTTGATCAAAGCGTCCACTTGTACACATTTTTTTGGCATCCCGTACATATATGATATAACTAATGTATATTATATATAATTATCTATATTATATGTAGTGTATTATATATTATCATTATAGTATATAGTCTATATAATTTTATTTTGTATAATATATAATTGTATATATTATAAAGTATATAATTATATAGCTATAATATATTACTATCATATATAACTATTTATATTAGTCGCCTGTGTTTTATCTACCTCCTTCTCTAGAATGAAAGCTCCAGGAAGACTTTTTTTGTTCACTATGAATCCCCAGCTACCAGAATAGTGCCTGGCACATAACAGACCCTCAGATATTTA